CCGCTTCGGACGAGCTTTGTTCTTTCGAGGTTTCATGTTTGGGTTCAAGCTAGGAGCAGTGCGACATGCCTTAACGCTTAGGGTTTCTTTTCCCTTGTGTTTGGGGCATGTGGTGAATCGAACTATGCGTTGGCCATTTTGCTCCTAGCCTTGACCCAAACCTGCGGTTTCATTTCTGAAACCCACCCACCCGCCCTGCACTGCCCTATACCAGGCTTTGCCAGGATAGATAGCAGTTTCTCTGCACTGCCGTGGGTCGCCTCCGGGCACTTTGGTCTCCGGACCAGGTCTCCGGACCAATTTCGGTCTCCGGACCTCAAGTCTCCGGACTTTCGGTCTCCGGACCCTGGGGCGTGGGCACGCATGCCGCGCCCCCCAAGCACTGCATTTATACGCAAGGACACGCTTTGTCTTGCCTTTTCACATTTCGGGGGGTCAATGTGCCTCCTGCTCCAGGCGCACTAGTGCCCTGGAAGCAGTGCAACTTTCAGCAATCCCGGTGAAAAGAACTGCGGCCGCTTCGGACGAGCTTTGTTCTTTCGAGGTTTCATGTTTGGGTGCAAGCTAGGAGCAGTGCGACATGCCTTAACTGCACGGATTTTGCCTGTTCCGCGCGGGACGATGTTTTGTCGCTCGCGGCGCCTCGCGCCACTCCACGCTGAAGATGCTGGGGGTGTGGAGACGCTGGGAGATGCTTTGTTCTCGCGGCTGCGATTTTGCACGGATGTCACGTTGATTTTTTTGCATGATCTTGCTTGCTAGGGGACCTTTCGGTGTGATCGACACTGGCGCAGATTCTTGGTGGCAAATATTCTGATGAGAACTTTGAAGGTTGAAGTGGAGGAGGGTTCCATGTGAACAGTCTAGTCGATCCTCTGAGAGAGGGATGTTCCGCACACGCATGTTTTGTTCGTTGCAGCGCATCGGCCCGGCTCGGACAACAGAAGCAGGTTCTCGGCTCGGGTAAGGGTTATTAGCAGGTTGGCTCGGGTAAGGGTCATTAGCAGGGTAGGGGTCATTAGCAGGTCGGCTCGGGTAAGGGTCATTAGCAGGTTGGGTCATTAGCAGGATCTCGGCTGGGTCATGAGCAGGTTGGCTCAGGTCCTCGGCTCGGGTAAGGGTCAAGCAGGTTCTCGGCTCGGGTAAGGGTCAAGCAGGTTCTCGGCTCGGGTAGGGGTCATTAGCAGGTTCTCGGCTCGGGTAAGGGTCATTAGCAGGTCGGCTCGGTAAGGGTCATTTTCTTGGCTCGAGTAACGGGTCATTTTTGTTGGCTCGGAGGGGCGCATTTTTTGGCCCGCGGCCATGTCGGGGCAGGGCAACTTCGCGGAGGCCTTCAGATTGTCGCCGTTTGTCATCTTCGTCTGTTTTTTTCTCCTGGGCAGGATCAGTCCTGGGGAGGCAGGATCAGTCCTGGGGAGGCTGGATGCCGCAGGGCGACGTGGAGGCCTTCAGATCGTCGCCGTTTTCTTTTCTTCGCCTGTTTTTTTTCTCCTGGGCAGGACCAGTCCTGGGAGGCTGGATGCCGCCGGCGCAGGACAGCCTCTTCCTTTTTTCCCGTCGTTTTTTTTTCTCTGTCAGGAGTGGGATGGATGTGGAGGATCCCGGGGCGGGTACGGCGGCGCCCAGGCGCGTCCTGCTTTCGCAGGGTTCTTCTTTTTTTTGACTGCCAGGACTGGTCCGGCCCGCGCGCCACGGGGAGGCGCTTCCCCCCCCCTCTCCCCCCTCCCCTCTTTTTCCGTGCCCGCCAGGAGGCGGCGTGGAAGCCCAGCCGCAGGTGCGCTCGATCGATCGCCTCTTCTCGTTTTTTTGCGTCGCTCGCGGAGGCCACCTCCTCCGAAACTCCGCCGCGAGGCGGAGTACAACGCGTCCAAGGCCTGTCTTTTTCCCTCGTTTTTCCCGGAAGCATTGCGAAGGGTTCTTCTTCTAAAAGCGGCTGCCAACTTCACCTGCCAACTTCTCATGCCAACTTGTCGAGAGTTACTTCACCTGCCAACTTCTCATGCCAACTTGTCGAGAGTTACTTCACCTGCCAACTTCTCATGCCAACTTGTCGAGAGTTACTTCACCTGCTAACTTCTCATGCCAACTTGTCGAGAGTTACTTCACCTGCCTACTTCTCATGTCAACTTTTCGGCTGTTATCTCATTCTACTAAAAGCACAAGCTAATTTGTCGGGTGTTACTTCACTATCCTAAAAACACAAGCTAACTTTCTGTTCTACCTTCACTTCTCGACTCTTAATTCTTCTTCTTTTTATGGCGGGGGTAGGCCCGACGGGAGCTTACGAAACGCACCCCTCTGCGGAGATCGTGCGTGTCGAAGCGCTCTCGCTGTGGCCCCGTGCGAATTTGTCTTGAGCCCGATGAACCCTCTGCGGAGATCGTGCGTGTCGAAGCGCTCTCGCTGCGGCGCCGTGCGAATTTGTCTTGAGCGCGGCGAACCCTCTGCGGAGATCGTGCGTGTCGAAGCGCTCTCGCTGTGGCGCCGTGCGAATTTGTCTTGACCTTGGCGAACCCTCTGCGGAGATCGTGCGTGTCGAAGCGCTCTCGCTGTGGCGCCGTGCGAATTTGTCTTGACCTTGGCGAACCCTCTGCGGAGATCGTGCGTGTCGAAGCGCTCTCGCTGTGGCGCCGTGCGAATTTGTCTTGACCTTGGCGAACCCTCTGCGGAGATCGTGCGTGTCGAAGCGCTCTCGCTGTGGCGCCGTGCGAATTTGTCTTGACCTTGGCGAACCCTCTGCGGAGATCCTGCGTGTCGAAGCGCTCTCGCTGTGGCGCCGTGCGAATTTGTCTTGACCTTGGCGAACCCTCTGCGGAGATCCTGCGCGTCGAAGCGCCTCGCTGTGGCGCCGTGCGAATTCTTGTCGCGGCGAGCCCTCTGCGGGGATCGTGCGTGTCGGATCGCTCTCGCTGTGGCGCCGTGCGCATCTGTCTTGAGCCCGATGAACCCTCTGCGGAGATCGTGCGTGTCGAAGCGCTCTCGCTGTGGCGCCGTGCGATTTTCTTGCTCGCGAAACGGCTTTTGGAAGTTGTCTCGTGGTGCGCGCGCCTGCTTTCGCAATCCCGCGGTCCCGGGTTCGATTCCCCCCTGGTCCGCGGCAGCTCCGGCTTGAAAATCGCAGCTTTTAAGTACAAACGTAGTACGCGGAGAGTGCTCCTGCAGCTACGGCTGGAAAATCGCAACTTTTAAGTACAGACGTAGTACGCGGAGGCTGCTGCAGCTCCGGCTGGAAAATCGCACTTTTTAAGTACAGACGTAGTACGCGGAGCGTGCTCCCGCAGCTCCGGCTGGAAAATCGCAACTTTTAGATACAAATTGCTGGAAAATCGCAACTGTAAATTGCAAATGTAGCACGCGGAGCGCCTCCGCCGCTCCAGCTTTTTGAGGGTTAATTACTTCACCTGCCAGTTTCTCATGCCGAAACTTCGAGAATTACTTCACCTGCCAGCTTCTCATGCCACCTTTTCGAGAGTTACTTCACCTGCCAACTTCTCGTGCCAACTTTTCGAGGAGTTACTTCACCTGCGAGCTTATCATGCCAACTTTTCGAGAGTTACTACACCTGCGAGCTTCTCATGCCAACTTTTCGAGAATTACTTTACCTGCCAACTTCTCATGCCAACTTTTCGAGAAATACTTTACCTGCCAACCTCTCGTGGCAACTTCACCTGCCAACTTTTCGAGAATTACTTCACCTGCCAACTTCTCATGCCAACTTTTCGAGAAATACTTTATCTGCCAACCTCTCGTGGCAACTTTTCGAAAAATTACTTCACCTGCCAGCTTCTCATGCCAACTTTTCGAGAGGTACTTCACCTGCCAACATCGCCTGCCAACTTTTCGAGAGTTACTTCGCCTGCCAACTTCTCGCGCCAACTTTTCGAGAATTACTTCGCCTGCCAACTTCTCATGCTAACTTTTCGAAAGTTACTTCACCTGCCGGCTTCTCACGCCAACTTTTCGAGAGTTACTTCACGCGCCATCTTCTCGTGCCAACTTTTCGAGAATTACTTCACCTGCCAGCTTCTCACGCCAACTTTTCGAGAGTTACTTCACCTGCCAACTTCTCATGCCAACTCTTTGAGAGTTATTTCACCTGCCAACTTCTCATGCCAACTTTTCTCTTGAGTTACTTCGCCTGCCAACTTCTCATGTCAACTTTGCGAGAATTACTTCACCCGCCAACTTTGCCAGCCAACTATTCGAGAGTTACTTAACCTGCCAGCTTCTCATGCCAACTTTTTGAGAATTGCTTCGCCTGCCAACTCCTCATGCTAACTTTGCGAGAGTTACCTCACCTGCATCAACTTGCCTCTATGCTTCCGGGCCACTCGTCGTCTAGTTTCTTTTTCCGCCCGCCTGGCAGGACAGGACTCATGGAACTTAAACCCCCCCCCCCCCTAGGCCCCCCCCCCCACCGCTTGAAGGCCAACAAAGGACTACTAGACCGCTACTAAGGTCTTAGTAGCGCCCGACTCTCGCTTAGCTCTTGGTAGGGCCTCAAAGCGTGTTTTTGCATGTGCCCAAAACCATCTAAACCGAACAAGTCGCTTGCGTAAACCTCGCAGGCTTTCCCTTTGAGTTTGGCGGTCATGGTCGCACTCAACAAAAACCCTGTTTGAAGCGGAAACCCAAACTTCTGACATGGGCATTTCCTTTTCCAAAGAGCCTCTTGCTGGGACCGGGACCCGCGCAAAATTCAGGGGTCATATCATACTGAAGCAATTCTTTTCTGGGCCACGTGATTCGATGACCCGCACCAGATTTGGGTGAAACACTCACGGACCTTGACTCTGACCCGCTCGGCGCGTGATGACACGCTGCCCCTGCTCAAGCCAGGACACGGGAGCGAAACTGTGTATAACATCATTTGTTGAGGTCAGGACCCTTGATTGATAGAAACAAAAAACAACAATTGAAAATTCAACAGGGCAACAGCACAGGTCGGACAGTCAGCCAAGTTGTGAAACCAGACCTATGTTTCAATTCAGAACTTTCTCGCCCGCTTTCGCTTTGGCTCCGGTTCAGCCACTGGCGGTGGCACTGGTGGCGGCACTGGAGGTGGCCGCGATGAGGAGGAGGATGCAGCAGCCCCAGAGCCAGATGGGGCTCCAACAGCTGTGCATCCCCGCACACATTCAGCAACTTCCTCTTTTGAGGGCCTGGGACGATGGCAAACCAGAAAGAAGATGTCCTTTCTAGAAAGTTCCCTTGCCAGTAATATAGTTGTGGGGAGGCTGGGTTAAACTTGCCAAAAAAATTGAGCCGGCCAGGGCGCCTCAAGTCGCTATCCTTTTTGTTGGTGTCCTTTTTCAAGTGCAGGTTCCACAGCGCATTTACCACCACCCAACAAGCTTCGACTTCCCCAATATTCTGGCGAGATCCTTCCCATTTGCAGGACTTGTACTTCTGCAGGCCGGGCATCGAGTCTGGTTTGCTTACAAATAACCAACACGCGGGAAACCAAAACATGCTGCAGCTACTCAACAGCTAGTTGGCTTTCAAAGGTACAACTATGGTGTAGCGATGGCTTTGTTTGGGGTTCCCCCGAGAAAAAGGGGGCTCACTTGAAACAACGTGAAGTGTAAGGGCGCGCGTTGTAAGTTTCAGGCAGTTGCCGAGGGACGATCGTAGAAACCGCAATACTGCTTTTGACCGGGCTGGCGCTTGATCCAAACATCGTGCTCTGCTGGTGGCAAAAGTGAACGAAACTCGGCAGGGGTAAAGTGCTCCTTGTGCCACCCAGACTTGTGGTCGGTCTTTGGTTCGTTGCTGCGATCGGCCTTGTGGCTTGCAAGCAGCCTATCCCAGCAAGCCTTTTTGACACCTTTGGCCGCCTCTGCGTTCTCTGGGTCCAAGCCACTGATGACATCAAGCATGTCATCCTGACACGCGTCATGATCCTTGGACAAGGGGGAAGCGCCTCCCATAAGACCCTCAATCATCTGAGCCTTCAACTCATCAGAAGCGGTAGGATGGAGTCGATTGACCAAATCATGCACAAAGTGTTGCTTTCGGCGAACCCTCACCGTTTTTCCGGCCTTGGTGGTTTTTGTTTGCCCGGGCGGGTATGGCCACTCCCGCTGCTGGTAGATTTTCTTCAGCTGCACAAGTGATAGCCACATCCCAATTTTCACTGCGTAGGTAAGCAAGTCCTGGTCATCGCTAAGGCGCATCAGCGCTCCACCTTCTGGCAAGCTGCAGCAGCTTGGCGGCACAGGGCAGGTTTCAACTGCTCTCCAAGGTCCTGTGCCATCAATTGTGAAATTGAAGATCCACACTGGGGTCCGTCCATCGGCTTGATAGGTAAAGAAAACCTCAAGCAAAAGATTGCAGGGTGGGTCAGCAGGGTTTCCAACAATAACAATAACGCAACATCTCAAAAAGCTGTTTCTATTTCAAAAGGCCGCCAGGCGAAACTCACAGTGATGCAAAAACCAATGCCAAACGAAACACGGAAAGACAAACCGGGGTTCTTGATGCATTCGTGAGGCCGTCTCACCCACCCTGCGCTCTGTCAGTCTTATTGCCTGCGATGACCATCGGAAAAACCCAAGCGATAGCACAAAGCTGTCTGAGACCGTGTTGTGGAACACGTGGCCAGCTGCAAATAAGCAACCTTGGTCAGTTAACAAACCCCCCTTTGTAAAAGAGGAACGCCCTACCCTTGATTGAAAACAGCAACACGGGAACAATTGGTTAGTGGGGCCGCGTCAAAAGGGGAGAATTAAACAAGGACCAATATTCAGGTGAAGCGCTGGCCCAAGCATTTGGGATATTCGCCCACTCATGCCTTTCTTCCTCTAAAAGCAGCATGGTTGCTGCTGCCGCAGCCCGGTTGCTGTGGTACCCGGCAGCTTTCCAATCTCTTTCAAGCTTGAGTAAATCCGTCTTACTGCCGAGACTGGCAGGAAGTTTGTGTTGGCCAGGTTTGTACAGGCTCTTGTCAGTTGCGCCTCGTTGCGCTGCAGCACAGACCTCGCTGAAGGATTGTTGAAACGTCTTAAAGGTGACCGAAGGGCTTGGCAGGTTCGCTGTCTTCAAAATGGGCGAGCATGCTGTGTAGAAGTGTTGGCTGGACTTTGCCATAAAAGACCGGCCCTTTTGCTGGGCTTTGGAAATGTGCTGAAGATGGTTGAACTGGTCTTCCAAGATGAACTTGGTTGTGTGCGGCCCAGCGTAGAGCCGCCATGCGAACTCCACCATAGTTTTGTCACGGGCAGACCAATTGCAATCCTTAGTTTCGCTAGGGGAAACTCAGTCGTTTCGTTGAAAGCCCATTTGTCCAGTTGACGCACCTAGCAAAAGGACACACCGTAGAAACGAGCAACGGTAGAACAACTGGGTCTTGTGTTTCCTCCTATCTTGGGATGAGGTTCGGCTCCAATCTTCATGAGCTCTCGCGCCAGTTGCAGCTTGTGGAAAGCAACGTCTCCCAAACAATCACTCAGAGGCTTGTTGCCCACCACCTTTTCAGCCTTCAAAAGAGCCGCGGTAACCCGGGCCATGAGGTTGCACAAGCCTTGTGCAGCATCAGGGTTCTCGTGCAAGATGCCTGCTGATAGTTGCGGTAGCAAAAGCCCAAACAAACATTGGCTCCACGCACGGGCGGCCGACACTTCCACGATTAGCTTGAATAGCATTTTGGTAAGGGCCAGCTCCTCTTGTACCCAAGGTTGTGTCCATCTCTCCCTATTCAAAGCTCTGTTCGTGGACACAAGCCCCAGCTTTTCAAAGATCTCCCCCGAGTGCAGCAAGGACAATGTCTTTTCAAGGCACATGTTCCAACTGCCTGCAGCCCTTCGGGCTGCCCAGCGGGCAATGGGAACTTGGCCTTGTTGTTGCGCCGCAATGTCATCAAAGTACTCGGCTTCAAGGGGAGCCAAACACAGGTAGATCACACGGTGCCTTTTTTGTAGGTCCCTATCCTGGAAAAACTCAGCGCACATCTCCCATGAGTTTTTGTAATCAAGCCTCATAGCGTTGAATTCTTTCTTGTTAGCCGGGTCCCTTGCTTGCTCGCCCAGGTCTGCCTGGTCACCTTCTTCGGCGTCCTCGTCACCGTCAGGCTCTAGCGGGCCGTCGTCAGCTGTGCCGCTGTCCTGGGCAGCGACTTTGCTGGGCCACGTGGCATTTTAGAGGAGCTTTTGGGGTTTGAACCTTTTTTCCCCTGCACCAAAAGGTTCCCATATCAAACTCAAACCAAAGCTGGGGATGCCCAGAAAGACGATAAGTTTCAAATTATCTCAAGAACTTGACCTTGTTCGTTGCGCGCTTGGACCAGGGCGCTACCAAGCCTTTGCTGACCAGTTCATTCGTGACTGCAGCGTTGACAGTCCAGCTGTAGTCATTCCTGCGTAAACCTCCCATGAGGCTGAACCAGCACTTGTTTTTGACCTCGGTTCCAAAAGGACAAAAAGGGAACGCTGCGTTGATGACCCTGTTACCCATTTCACACCGGGAACCGGACACGCCCTTGAACCAGTTCTGGAAACATCGTTCCCGATAAAGATGTTTCACACCCCCATCCAGCACTAGACTGTAGAAGAACAGAAAGCTTTTACTTTATATTGGTTTTGTTTGTTCTGGTCAATGGTAAGCCCTGTCCCCAAACTTTTTCGCACTACTTAAATCAGAGCAACACGGAGTGGACCTTTTGTTTTGTTTTTCCAGTCCAAGTAAAGGGGCAGGGTTGAGTGACGAGTAGCCAGGGCTCCTCGGTTAAGGGTCTTGCGGTCCGTGCTCCAGTTGAGCAGCTCAGATCGCAGTTCCTCCTCGTTCAAGCCTGCAGAATCTATGTGCAAGTTCCTGTCAAACGCGATTTCCTCCAGCATTTCACTTAAATCCAGTTTGTAGGCCAGTGATGCTAGCACTTCCTCCTTCTGCACCTGGTTTTTTCCACCTAAGAAATATCCATGATTGAGGTTGGCCATGAGTACCCCTTTTAGGGCAGCTCCAGTGAGCCCTGAAGCCTCCAGGCTTCGCCTGGCATCATTCCATTTGCTATGGAGAGCTTCTGGGTCTGCTGTCCCTCTGTAATGAAAGTGGTATAGGAGTGCATATAGCACCTTGAAGCCGATAGCCTCCTCATCTGGAGCCTTAAACACGTTTGAGCGCAAATCAACCAGCGCTTCCATTTGAAACGACACGCCTCTGAACGGTGATAGTTGGGTCCAAGAAGAATTGGGGAGACAAGATGTTCCTGAACTTTTTGAGGCAGGGGCAGGTCCATTGTGTGAAAGCCAACAAGGTAGGAAAGCGGTACAAGGGTGACAAATCTAAGAATCCCCTTTTTGGTTGTAGAAAGGGCCACCCACGCTGAGGAACGGCTCTGAACATTGGGCGCTCATCAAGATCAGGGGGTGAAAGTTGGAGAGGCGCAGCCGGCAGCAGCTTTGTCTCCGGCACAAACATATCCAGGCTGTTGCCCGTTGTCACAGAGAAGCCATGCGCCAACATGTGCAACATAGCCTTGGACCGACGCAGTAGCGCTGATAAGTCAAACTGTTGCAAAATACACCCAAGGCATACCAAGGAGGGATTCAGGATTAAACAAAGCAAGTGTTGCCGCAGTATTTGGTTAGGCAACGACCATTGCAGAGTTCTTCTTCGACTTCTTTTCGGCGAGCCCCCTGCCCAAGACCGGTAAACACAAAAGCCAAAATGCAACACTTGCGGTGGCTGGCCTGTCGTCATCTTTGGCTTGAAGGTCAAAGTCGGCAAAGTAGGTTGGCACTTCCTGGGTGGGCGGGTCAGGACCCACCACCAAAGCGCTGGGCTTGTTCGATCATTGCGCAACTGCTTCAATGAGGACTTTTGACATGAACCCACAGCGCGCTTTTCATCTTCAACTGATCAGCTGTGACATGCTAACCAACGTGTCTCTGCCATGAGTCGGGCAGACCCAAGTCAGCGCCAAGACTGAACACACCCCAACCAAACACGACAAACGACTTGATGATTGTAACGCAAGCCTTACTTACGGTAATAAGCCAACTTTGCAACACACTGGGCTGACTTGGGTCAGCAAAACTGTTGAGCCTGGAACTGCAGCCAGTTTGCGTTCCTGACACTTCGCCAGAATTCTACTCAAGGAATTTCAGGGTCAAGGGTCTCTATTGTTTTTTCGAGAAGGCAAAAAGAGGGCTTTCCCGAAGATTTCGTTTGCAAATAGGCTGAGGGCAAACAGCAATTCCTCACCATGTTTGGCTGCGTTGGCCACCTACCGGGCCAGTCTGCCAAGTGGTGTGGCTCAGTGAATCTGAGGAGAAGCCTTGGCTGCGCAGTTGCCCATACTAAGCCTTACTAAGGCCTTACCGAGACCTTACCGAGACCTTACCGAGACCTTACCGAGACCTTACTGAAAACCTTCAAAAGCACACTGTTTTGCAGAGAAAGGGCTCACCCCAGGGCTTCTGCCGCAGACTTCTTGGTGGCCACCCTTTTCGGGGCCTGCTTCGGCTCTGCCGGGGCTGGGGTCGCCGGTGCGTCCTTGGAGGTCTCGGCTTGGCCTGCCTCGACAATCTCGACCTTCTCGACTTTCTTGGACTCAGGCCTGGGCGAGCGGGGCTGCTCGTGTTGGTGTTTCCGTGTTGGTGGGAAACCCCAAGCCAAAAGCTGGGGCGCTGGCTCAGGGGGGTCTGATTTGCGCTTGGTGAGCAGGCGCTTGAGGCGATTGGCAAGGGCGGGAGTGTTTGGAGAGGCAAGAAAGTCGCCAATCCCAGCAGTCTTTGCTTTCATGACTAGCTCATCAAAGTCTTCGTCCGGCATAGCCGCCTCCTGCAACGCAAAACGCACTATCGCTGAGATGTTGGGCGCAGGTCAGCGCGTGCCTCAGCCTTGGCGGTTGCATCGGCAGGCGTCCCGCTTGGCGTGGGAGGAGTGGGTCCTACAAGGGGAAGGCGTTTTGTCCAAACTCAAGCAATATGTGGTCTCCTGTGACGGTTACCTGTTTTGAAGGGTCCTTCAGGAAAGTATGAGGCAGCGTACTTGTTGGTTGCTGCCACCCCCTCAGTGACAACGTCATGGCCAGTTGCGTCTTGGTAGAAGCTCCACATTTGCTCGCCGTTCGTTGAGAAGGCTGGAAGGTACACTCGCTTTCCGCTACTGTTCTCGGTCAGGATCCACTGGTTCCCGTGCGGGGAGATAGCAAACCCTCAGTCAAAGCAAGTTGTTCAAATGACCCAACAACGAAGAACAAAGAGGTGACCTCTTAGCCCGCGGCTCTGGGAATCGGCCCCTTCTACAGGAAGCCCATTCTCAAGCCGCTCAATGCATTGGGCGCTCTTCACGAGCTCCTTTTCGGACGCCTCCCAAGCCTGTTCTTTGGTGATTTGCTTTTTCTGAACTTGCATTCCCAAACGGATGTACTCGTTCCTCATCATGGACAGATGCTCGTCTTTGATGTACCTGTCAAGCACCCATTCAATCGAGCCACATAATTTCAAAAGGCAACAATAGGAAATGTTGCTGAGGCTAAGGCGAATAGGGCTTGTCCTGGGGAAGCTTCCCAACCTGGTGTTTCGAAAGGCGAATTGGCAGGGTGAGAAGTTGAGGCTCCCACAGTCTGCCACATGAAGGCATCCAGGAAGTGCCTGGCAGGAATGGCTTAAATAGCGCGAGCCGTCATGTTATGATGGGTTGTGCCTGGCCTGGGCTGTCGCTCCAAATATCCCCGGCCACAGAACACCGGCTCAATGTGATCCAGCATCTCGATGAGGTGATGGTCAGGGAAATGGGCCAAATATTTGTACCCACTCGAGTATTTCCTGGGGTTACGTTGCAAGATGTCAAATCCAAGACAAGCAATCAACCGAAAAACAAACATACAAATACAAGGCAAGGGTCTCGACGTTATGTCGACGGCTGCCCTTTGAACTTGCCCCGGACTTGGCTTTTGCTTTTGGGTTCCCGACTGATGCCTGACCGGTCACAATGTTCAAGTAGTTGATCGCAGCGTTTGACAAGCCTCCTGCATTTCCTGCTGCCTTGGCAGGTGGGGGGCCTGGAGGCCCTGAAGGAGCAGGAGCACTGGCCGGTGGCCCTGGTGGTCCTGAAGGAGCCGCCATCCTCCTGGCACTGCAAAGTAGGGTCCTTGACGTCGGGCGTTCAAGTCACGCTTGAGCCCCAGGCACGAGAAAAATCGAAAGGCAGGCTCACACTTCGAAAGGCAGAACGTGTCTGTGAGTCAAAAGGCAAGTCTGGGTTCCGGGCCATGGGCGGGCAACAGCAGCCCAGACCCAAGCAAGGAGCCCACAACCACAACAGCTCCGTCGGCCGCTTCGCCACGCTGGATCCATCGAAGTAGATCTAGGCGCGTGGTCGAGTTTGACATCGACACGGAATAGGGTTTCGCAACTTGCATTGTTCAAAGCACAGCCTATTTTTTGACAGCCTGCGCTCACTCGCGTTCGTTGTCTTAGTTGGCAGGCTATTGAACCGGGCCGCTGACATGTCTAATAGACACTGCCAGTGGTCGCTTTTGCAGCTATGCAAGCCAGTGCAATCATTTGAACTACTCCAACACATGGCAGGACCATGCAGTTGCCAGCCAGCTGACTGGCCCTGGCGGCGTCCCTGATCTGAATTGGTGAGACGCCCATGGCCTGTGCAATCCATGGGCGGACTGGGAACCCAAACGCGGACAACTTTTCAGAGCTGCACATCCAGCGCCTGTAAAAAGGAAAAAACATTCGCCCATTGTTGAGACGAAAGGTAGGCACCTTGCCACTGACTGCCGACCACGTGAGAGCATAACTTGGATTGTCCCCGAGGAACACGGCCAAGTTGGGGTCCATGTAGGGGTCGGTGTTGAACCTGCGCCTGTACTCTGCGCACGCATAGTCAAGGACACCCTGCTCCCTTTCGTTCAGAAGGTAGGTGAGGTCCTCCAGACCCGGGCGGTAGACCAGCTTTCTTGAGCGGGCAACCGACATGGCCTCCAAGGCAATTTCCTCGCTGGTGGCGATCATGTAGTCCCGCGGCTGTGTCCGGGCCCGAGGCATGATGTACTCCCTGACCTGCTCATACAAGTCCATGGGGTCATACAAGCAGTCAGTTGTCTGGACATGCCTCATGATGACATAAGTGCGGGTTCGGGCAATGCCCGCGTGTCCAACATCCTCGCAGTCAACCTGCAGCCTGTAGAGTTGGTACTCCGGCTCCATCAAGGATTCCAAGACCCCCATGTCGAAAAACTTAGGTGGGCAAGGGCGTTGGTTGAAAGAAACACTGGTCGTGTTTGCCAACAAAAATTGAGGTCGGCGCTGACACATTTGCATTTCAAAACATTGCTAGGATCAAGCCAGGAAGCTGGGGCGTTCTCCAACACCACAAGCTTTGTTTTGAGGGTTTTGTGGCGTTTGCACCAAGCAACAAACAAGCCGTTTGTGCTTCCCTCTCGACCTCTTTGGAGCCCTGAACGCGAAAAATCAACGCATGGAAGGCCGCCGACATCCAAATCCACATCAGCAAGAGGACAACGTGTGCCCTCAGCGTGGCACCCCACGCATGTCAATCTTTTGTTCAGCGGCACATGCCGCGCGGCTTGCTTTTTGGTCTCAAAGCTGTCCGTAGGGCCAAACGTGTTGGGCGGCAGGAGCTCCAGCACATCTGGGAACAAATGCGGCATCGGGTTACAATGGCCAGTGACGCTGTTGGACCACAAGTGGTTGTCCTTGATGATTTGGTGGCATTTCTGGTTGATCTCCTGACTTGGTACCAGTGAATGAGAGCAAACAAACGCTTCTGAGTTCGGGTTTGCTGTTTGGTTTCAAGAAAGGGAAGCGCTGAACATGAATGCAGATGTGGCTAGTGCCACCTAAGCTTCCCAGCAGCACACGGTCGCGATGTGCACCCTCTTGTCCCAGAGCCCCGAAGCATTGATGACGCGCATTGCAGCCGAAAGCGCCATGTCTGAGGTCATGATGCCGGTGCAGCTCGATGAAGCTGAGCGGGCTGTAGCCAGCAGGGAGTCCTGCGCGGACAGGGCTTGCAACAAGCAGTTGGTTTGGGAGCCACCATGTTGTTTTTATGTCTGGGGATGTATACCAAAAACGTTTTTTACTGACCTTGACTGGTTTGGGCTAGGACTCGCAACTTTTCCTCGAGTCGATCACCAAGCTTTTGATGTATCACGTACCACGCCATCCAAAGGGCCTTGCTCGCAGCGGCCAGCTGATTTGTCTCACTGCCAACCTCACTTGGCGAGCAATGAGGACAACACAAAAATATTGAACAGTAAGAACATGACCAGTTGGGGACCAAGATGTTAGGAACTTCCCCCCCCTCCCCAAAGCCCCTCTTTCCCGTTGAAAGAGTAGCCTTGATGGTCCTAAACCAAAAAAAGGCCCTTTGCATTTGAGGCACAGCGAAGTGCGTTGATGACCCTGCAGGTGAAAACGACGTCTCATCAGTTTGCTGAGTGAGCATTACCACGTCTTCGTTCGGGTCTCCTTCTTCGGTTGACCCAGTGTTCGTGCCCTCCTTCGAAATGAAACTGAAAGAGTCCGAGCCAGCTGACGATGGGCCAACACCGGAGTCCGCAAACATCGCGCGGCTTAGCCCGCGCAAGTTGCAGAAAAAACAGCGCCCCGCACTGGGGCTGAGCCAAATTCCGATCACGAATCAATGCAGGCATCAGTTTGGATTCAGTTGTTTCAGCAAATTTGCTCAAACAAACAAAGTGCAGTGAGACAGATCGAAAAAGCCATTGAGGCCCTGGCGTGCCACGTTTTCTCGCCGGCGAATTCGGACCGGCAGTGCTTGAGGTAGGCATCCTCGGGAGGCGCGGTGTTCTTTCGGAGTTCCTCCCTGTTTAAAAAAAATCCCAGAAAACCCTAAATTCAACCGTGATGATTTTTGCAAGCAAGGGTCAGCAAAGATCCTTGCGCAAAACGTTGTGTCAATGGTGCCCTTCTGGCTCTTTGACTTCTTGGCACCCTCCTTCTTTGCCATGCGTTCTCTTTCGCATGCTGTTCGTAGCAAAATTGCCTGAGATACGGAAACTTCAAATGCATTGCAACAGACCTTTGCCAATCGAAACCCAACAAGAACATGGAAGAGCAAAACCAAAGCATACTTCGTGCCACTAAGACACATCGCCCTGAATGATGCGTTGACAAGCTTTGAAATACCCTTGAATCATCAGCCCTTTGCGCACGTTTCTTGTTGTTCCCACTTTGTTGACAAAACGTGTCAGTCCTTCCTGTGTAAGGGTCAAAGCATTCTGTGTTTTCCTTAGTGGTGCAAAGAGCTGCTTCATGAGGTTGAGGGATGCCGTCATCAAATAGGAGTATTGCTGGGTAACTGCAGCGTCCAACCCAAACAACACGAAATCAGGCACTGACATAGTGCGGTGGCTTGATCGATGCCAGTCCCGTGCTGGATCGGTGGCTGCCTCATCCCAAGCCTTTGCCAAAAGTGGCTGGATCTCAGGTGACCAGACCACCTCTGAGTCGAGCGCGGCGTTTGCTGGAAACGTTTTCCACTCACCGGTTCCAAGGACTCTGACAGAAATTGTGTCTAAAAAAGAGCTTTCACACACTCGGCGGAGTAGTTGGTGCAACATGTCGCTCGTTCTTGACCTTTGGTCGATGCCGAACTTTATGTTGTTGACCCCAAATGCCAAAAGAGCGCAAACCACTTTTGTTTCCAGCGTCTTTTCGTACATCATGGGTTGGCTTGTGTCCTTCTCCTTTTGGGTCATACATTGCCTGGGCTCAGGGATTCCCTCAAACTGGCCAAAGATCAGCTTGAACAAGGTGTCCACCTGTGGAAGGTTTTTTTTGTACCTGTCGACACGAGAATCGCGGTCTTTGCTTGGCCAAACCCAATGCGAAATGTCGTTGAGCGACCACTCCACATGATTTTTGCCAGAGTCATCCACGAATATGTAGGTATCAATATTGCCAATTAACTTGCGGGCGCTCCATGCAAATTCAGGCTCCTCTTCAAGGTCTTCGCCATCCGAATCACGGGCTACGAGCATTGGTGCAGTGTTGAATCTAGATTAGGGCTGGATTTCCTGGCTTGGTTTCTTGGGGTGACCCTGAAAACAATCATGTGGACTTCAGACTTCCAGTACTTTTGCAAGCCCGCTTGCAAGAAGCTCTTCTTGAGCAAAACTTGGCTGACAAATCATCGTTCTCAGCAAGCAAAACCCGCAAATCTCGGTAGGCTTGCCGAGGGCTCTCTGGGGGGGGGGGGGGCCGAGGGGGGGGGGGGGGTTTAAGTTCCATGAAGGCGCGTTCGGTTCTTCGCCGTTCGGATGTCGCCCTTTTTTCCCCGTCAGGATGAGCGCCTCGCCGCGGCGGAGTCCCACGCTTCCGCCGCGGAAGCGCGGGTCGTCACCTTGGAGGCGGACAAGGCGCGACTCTTTTTTTTCGGGGTTGGGCGGGGGACGCAAATCCGTTTTTGCAGGTGGCGCTGATGGGGGAGGTGGCCGCGAAGGCCCGTCTCCCCCCTTTTTGGGGGTTTTTTCCTTGTCAGGAGACGCGGGTGGCGCTGCTGGAGACGGAGATCCGCGCCGAGAAGTCTTTTTTTCCTGCCCCCCCCCGTTGCACCCGTCAGGCCAACGCGCGCTCGCTCCGCGAGGAGCTGGCCCGGCTGAAGGCTCATCCGTCGTCCGACGTCAAAGAGGGAGATGACCTCATCGCCATCTACGTCCCAGTCAGGTGTCGCGTCGGGTGGAACGATTGTCGCCTTTGAAACCATTCCCCTTCAAAGACATCAGGGCGATCTTCAAGTCTGTGAGGAAAGGACCGGTCAGAGAGGTCAATCGGATCTACTCCCGCATCGTCAAGAGCAAGATCTGTCCAGGATTCAAGGACGCTGTGTTGGCGTGACCCCAGCGGACTTTCTTGGAAACCTCACCAGCGTCTTGAATCATTGGACGCAAGTTCTTGAAGATCGATCTTGCTGCCATGATTTGCGTACAGGGTGCCAAAGAGGTTGACAATCCTCTTATTCAATGGTGCTATCATCGCAACATACATCTGCCCTCGCGCTACATCGAGAAGATCAATCGGACCGAGGAGACGCCAAAATCTCTGTTAGAAAGGTTCCAATGGAGGGCGAGTAGAAAGGCGATCACGACGTCGTCGCACTGGTGATCAAGCATTTCCAACACGATCTCTACTATGTGGGGGATTAACTGGAGATTGCATTTTCACAATGGGATTGTGGTACTCATCGTGCATGGTACCATGATCAAACATAAATATTTGCATGAGACTTGCATCTGTCACTACACAACATTTTCATTTCCGTACAGTATCGTCGTCGGCGACTGCTATTCTGGGGATGATAGGTATTTGGCGGTGAATGAGTATTCGATGCTACAAATCATTATTGGCTACAAATTGGTGGTGGACTATGCTCGTCATGGATGTTCGTTTTCTGCAGACGATTGCTATGTGTGCTTCAATGCGCATGAGGTCCGGTATGCGACCTGTAGCATTCTCGTTTCTTGTTAAGTGTACAGAACCTGGTCAAACTCGTGCAGAGACGTTTCACAGAATTGGATAGGAAAAGCCGCGCGTCCATGCATGTCGGCATGTGGTTGTGAATGGTTCCTGACCCCGGGATGAACCCGAGCCCAGGATGGGGGATGCTAAGAATGGGCCACAGGCCAAAATCCCAAGGGCAGGTTCTGAGGGTCACCCTGTTCTCTTCCCTCCTTTAAGGTCCCTCGAACCTATGTGGAGATGTTGTTGTGTGAACAGCCGACGCATGCATATGGATGCTTTGGCTCAAGACTAATATCCAACGGAAACGCTGTAAAGAAGCAAAAGGACCGTGCTCCGCTGTTGCAGGCGGTTGTGAGACAACGCAGACCATATTATCCTTACACCCCTATTTACACCGACCCCTACTACACGGCTTTACAAGGGTAGTGGTCACCCCACGGGATAACTGCCTTGTCACTGACTTCGTGGTTGATTCGCCTCCTGGCACTTGTTGTGGTGGGTGAGGGAGTAGGCGATCGAGTGAGGGAGCGAGCCAGCGAGCGAACGAGTTGAGTTGCGAGCGAGTCATCAGCTAAACGTGACCGAACATGCACGCTCCGCGCGCATTGTGGCTTTGACATCACATTCGGAGCAAGACGCTCTTTGCAATTTGCAGAGGGGCATTCGTGTTGATTCTTTTGTTTGCGTGGGTGTAGAAATGCGTTCCGATTTTGGAGCTTGCAAAGGTCCGTCCATTCAAACAACAGTGTTTGTGCATGCTTTTGCATTCTAACGCGCAAGGCGTCTTTATTGGGTGGCGATTTGTGTTAGTTTAGGGTGAGGCGCCCCGAGGCGCCCCAAGAAACATGCAATGCTTTCTCAAACCCATTTTGTGGAGATTGGCGTGTGGGCAAACGCTTGGTTTGCGCAAGGTGCAATATCCTCACGTTTTGATTGCGCACACACATAGCATTTCGTGTTTCAGAATGCCAATGGTACATGCTACGCTGTGAAGCAGCGTGCGATTTGGTTTTCCAATGACCCGAGCCACGTGGCGAGTCCATGTCAGCTTTGCAACATATTCCGTGGTTTTGGTAACTGCTGGTAACACTGGCGACTACGATCATATGTTAAACAATTGTTTAACGTGGAGTACTGATGTCGTGTTTTCCATCCCCATCACCCACCAGCCCAGATGATGATGATCATGGCTGGTGCTGATGATGATGATGATGATGATGAGGATGGTGATGGTGATGGTGATGACAATGATGATGACGCCAGTGACAATTGAAGCACCGCCCTTACCCCTCCCCTTGTGGAGAAGAGGTCGGCGCAGAAAAGGCTTCCCGGTTCCAAAACTGACCTCGAGCTCCGGCGTATGTCTTATCGCACAGGATTCTACGAGGAAGCTCATAATAAACAATTTTGTTTGGCCACTGTATCTAGCTTTTAGCAGCAGTCTTTTGGCACTTCAGGGGGGGATCCGCGGCTAGGGCATCAAACGTTGGAGCTAAGTATTTTAGTTTTTGGAACGAAACGTGACATGTCTCTGTACAGCACATGGTTTTGCTTGGTACCTTTTCAAAAAGCAGCCTCAGCGGTACGGCTTGGATCCTGCACCATTTGAAAATGGCTGATGCACTTTCTTCATGTGGAGTTACACCAGATGGCTTGCGCATGCTGTGAACCGTATTCGGCTCGAGTGTTCCGATGATTGGCGTGACAACTTGACGAGCAGGGTGCTGAGTGTGTGAAGCAACCGATGGGGGGAGCCGCGTCGTTTGCGCAGCACAAGTGCGAGCGAACCCTGCCGCCAGGCTTTATCATTGTCACACGGAAGGCGCTGGCTGAGCTTCTTGCTTCAAGGGGATCAAGCTGGAGCTTTTGCAAGGTGCATATTCTTTGAAAACCTAACATTGGAACACGGCTTGTCCTTGCTCAATATGCGCATTCTTGCGTGCAGCCGCTCTGGCTCTTAACCCGGCCATCCCACCCATGTGCGGGTGGTGCGGAGAATCTCGGATTTATTCAGGCATGGGGTTAAGTTTATCCGATGCTGGGGCATTTCAGAACTTTGCTTTTTGCAGCCAGTGCACACCGAATGATCGCACCTGGATTTGTCAATGTCAGCATCCTGCCTTTTCCACACTGAAAGACTCATACATGCATACAGATGATAGCCGTGATCCTCCTCCTCCTCCTCCTCCTCCTCCTCCTCCTCCTCCTCCTCCTCCCCATTTCGTTGTCATCATCATCATCATCATCATCATCATCATCATCATCATCATCATCATCATCATCATCATCATCATCATCATCATCATCATCATCATCATCCATTGGATTTACATTTGGCATCACCAGCTTATCATTGCCAGCACCACCATCATAAGAACCAGCAGTCAGTTGCCACCGTGACGATCATTGCATTACCATCACCACCCCTTGTCACTGTCATCAATCAATCATTGCGACCACCAGCCCTTCAACACGGATGCTTTGTTGGAATGCATTGCATGTGGCCAGCGTTGCATAGTTGCGTTTCCCGTGCTGAGGTTTTCCTCTTCAGGAAAGTCCATTTGCAAAACTCTTTCCTCGTTGTGTGCCTTGGCTACCTGGTTAGCAGACTTGTGCCTCTATCTCAGCTGGTTGTGCCTCAGATAGCTTGGACCAAGGTGCCACTAGAGGTGGCCGACCACAAAGATAGCTTGAACTGGGAGCACTTCATAGCTCGTTGCCTGAAAAGGATGTGGAGATTTCCATCTTGCATGCATGGCCACTCTGATGTTTGCACTTTGGTTTCGTGAAATTCACGGGTGGTTCAGCTCCGAGGCAGTGATGCACCTACCACCGCTGCTGCGATGCGTGATTTACGTCTCGTGTGCAAGGCTTGGTTGAGACAGCTGACTCGGTTGGGTTGAACAGGTTTAGCAGTGACCAAGCATTCATTTTACTCCAGCCTTGACGCAGGGAGGACACCAAATCGGGAAAACTCGCGGCAGGCTTTGCTGGGGCGAAGAAAGACGCTCCAAGAGTGGGGGAAGACAAAGCCGTGAGCACAGTCCATGGATGCTTGAAAGCTGGATGACTAGTTTTGCGGCAGCTTGCATGATCGGAACCCGAGGACTAAAGGTGCACAGCCCAGATGAAATTTTAGAGCTTTCTGCTGATGGCGCTGTGGTGGATGCCAGGTTACTCGGCAGGATCAGTCGCTGGCAGGGCCTGACTTCACACACCGTGGCCAAGGTTTCCGGATATTGACCGGCCAGTCATGCGTCGAGAGCATCGCGAAGCACATCAGGCAGTGCAGGCAGGGTTGCCCTGGCTGAGCGAATTTGGCTGAAACCATAAGCAATCAGAGGCAGATGCTTCTCTCGCGACGGTGGACAATGAGAAAGCCAGCGAGGAAATGGAGGTTACTTGCTTGCAAAAGGGCTAGAAGGTGCGTTTGCCTTTCAGCGTTTCAACAACACCATTGGAAGCGGTCCAACAACACTAGAGGATTTGTTGCTGAAGTGGCAGTGTGTTTGGCCGAAGTAGAAGTCACAACTAGAAAGCAGAGAATTCCAGCGTTTCTTCCGAGCTTAGGACCTTGTGGAGGCACAGAAGGCGCATGCGGATGCGAGCGCTTTTGCCGTTGTTGTTTGCTTTTTCTGCTTGCTTGTTCGGGTTGATGCAAAGGGAACCGAACAGAAATCAACAGGACGCCAAGTAAATGAAAAGGATATCAATTGGACGCCGACTTGGCCCTGTCAATCAGAGAGCTGGTCATGCTTCAATGCGGAGATGTGAGCTAGGTAATTTGCATTTTACACCTTCTGACAAGCCACAGTCACATTCTTAGTGTAGTTCGCATCCGCAGCCATCCAAAACACGTCGGAAATCTGCTCTCTTTCTGATTCTCTTTTGTCTCCGCTAATAATGCGCATTAGTATTAGGTGCACCCAGATTGGTTCCTGCCGACAGGTGGCGCACTCCAGAGCAAAGCAGTCAGTCGGATTTGCCGAATCTCGGCTACAGATAGGGCCTGGCATGAGCGTGTCCTGCCTTTCTCAGTCAGATTAGTTGATTCCATGCCACGTTAGTGAATCCAAGGAGGATATGCTGGAGGAGACCTCATTTGACTGCCAGCGACAGATTGAATGTTTTTGCGGGGTTGCCATGCCTTGTTTTTCCTGTAGTTTGTTTTTGGCAGAGGATCGGCCTCAATATGGACCTCTTGTGATTTTTGTGCTGCCTATTTAGGTGAAGTCGTATGTTGTTCCTCAGCGACCATCCGCACTGATATGTTTTGTTCTTTTCACAATTTGATTGACCTTTGTGCGAACTTGGTTGCAATTTCTCTGCAAGTCTCGTGCTGGTGTGTTTCATGTGCGAATTTACGGGTTGGAGAGCAGATCTGCTTTCCAGCTTGTTCTCAAGATGTATTAACCAGTGGATCAGGAGCTTTGTACTCAGCAGATAGAGGAAGAACGACAAGAGCAACTTGTTTGCTAAACACACCGAGATCAAGCAGGGGTCTCTGGAGGTTGGTTGGCAGGCACAGATCTCGTTGACCAGCCTATGGAACATGCCTTGCAACGGACTTTGTCTTGATCGTCTTGTTGGCATTGACCCTGCGACTGGTGTGTTGTCTCTCCCTGGGCGGCAGGAGCTGTTGCACACTGTAGAGCACACGGCACGGCAGGGGGCACCCAACATTGTGAAGAGCCTCAGCTGCATTCAGTGCAGGTTCGGATTCATGTCATATCCATGTTGGTGGGCGAGCCGTTTGTTGACGCGGTGGACTCCTATCGCCGAACAAGCGTCGACGCGTGGCGCAGGAATTCAGACTTTGAGGAAAGCTCGAGTGACTTGGCGATGAAGCCCCAAAAAGTATTGCCACTAGCAGCAAGCAAATGGTTACTTTCCAGACAGCCGCGGTGATTCGAGGTTGGAACAAGGATTGCCCAAATGCCAACTATCGTGGGCATGCTACTTGGGCTGCTTTCAGAGAGTCATGTTTCACTTGCCGAACAAGTTTAGCTGAGTCTTTTGTAAGAGTGGTTCTTGGATTCTTGATGCACAGTATGGCGCTTGAATATTTGTGATGGTCTTAAAGAGGAGAGATTCTGGGCTCGTGTGCAAAGCTGGAAGGGCCTGGTTTTCTCTGGAGTTGGCTGTGCGTAGGAATTGTTTCGTACATGTGCATCAGCACTGATGTCACAGCCGAGGCAGATGTCACAGGACACTGGCCTCAGTACATTTCCCCGATTTCCGCATTGAGCCGTCTTTCTGGTGGGTTGATTGCCCAGTAAGCAAGTTGAAGAGGCGAAGCACTGGTGAACCGAATAGGCGGAAGCAACATTATGTAGAGCTGCGGGAACTCAAACCATCGCAGCAGTTGAGAACTTGCTGCGATGGTACGTAGCTGCGCCACCAGAAAGACAACATGCCATGTGTGTGGCGTGCAGGATCATCCTGCAGCACTCGCGGCTTCTGGAGACTTGGATGCTCTTAGGTAGCTTCATGACTGATGAACCAACCAGAGAAACGGAGCGAAACTAGAGCGGGTGGCTTGGAAGAAAATGATGTTCCTCCTTGAATCATGGTGCCAAGTCACGGTGCATCATTTAGGATTTAGGCTTCTCAAATCAAGGATATCAATCGGGTTTTTGGTGGAAGAGGTTGGGTTTCTGATTCCTTCTGAGGAGCGGAGCTGCTCACGGCGGCACCAACACCAGTGGAAATGTTTGGAGCATCAAGTCCTTGACGGATTGCTTCAAGAACACCAGGCAAAGGTTTTTGGAACGTGCGCGATGGAACCCGCAGATGAAATAATGATTGGGTTCAGGGTAGTGAACTTTTTTGGGTGGAGATAGAGCCATGGCACTTTGTGGGGCGATCTCGAGCCAAGCACCTTTGGTGCTCTTTGACAAAAGGTGCACAGCAGAATTCGGGTAGTGCTTTCAGTCCAAGCCCGTCAAGACTTGTCGCTTCGTGGTTCAGAAGTTTTGCAGAGCAAACCTTAGACCTAATTTGTGCTTCCAGCAATTTTTACTTTGCCCTAGCTGGCAATTCATCCAGACCACCACCGGAGGGCTTATTTAGACAATGGGAGTTCTCAGTGGTCTCTCAATTTCTGCTGGCAGGGGTGCGGTGTACCAGGACCAGGGTGTCGCTTGCGCAGAATGGATGTCGAATTGATGAAATGGCCACGATGATTTTTGTGAGTGTCTTGAAATACAGCTGGGTATTCACGTGTTATTTCACCATTCATTTTTGGTAGCGCGACCCACTCTCGAGGACATCACAACAACAGCTGGAACTACGTACGAACTGGACTTCTATTCTATCGCGTGGAGCTTGGACAGTGTGAGGCACATTGCTAGCAATGTCCAAGCTTCAAAAGGCGGCTGGCCTCTGCTCGGCTCGCTCAGGATGCCTTTCTAGACAAGAAGTCCTCGAATGAGAGCAGCCGGCTGCATGTGGAGGCAAGGCAGCGAGTGAAGAGTGGCAGTCGTGGCAGTGCGAAGTTAGGTCCAGTCACCAGCCGGCACCTCTGTTCTTGATGCCCCTTGGCTGACTTACTGGAAGTCATGCTCCAACGCAAGCGACGGTGAGTTGCGGTAAGAAGCACAAAACAGTTTTTAGTATGTTTGTTGTAACTAGAAAACACATGTATTTGACTACGCATACCCATGTTTCAAAATAGATATGATAATGTTATCGTGTGTCCTTTGGAATCACGTTAGCCATCAACTACAAGAGTGTTGTCCGTTTCCAGCAAGGCTCACAGGCTTCCAGGTGAACAATTTTGGGCTTGCCGCAGAGATGCAGGCCAAATCCAATTGAGCATCGTCCAAAACCCGTACTAGCCACTTTGGAAGGTTGTACTGCCTGGTTCTTTGACGGGGCTTAGGGTGCGGCCTACATGTTTTTCCTTTTTCTCTGGCCATTTGGATACTAAAAAGCGATGGGTTTTGAGCGATTCAGATAAGGAAGCCACCATCCTCTCTGGATCGGCCTACCAGCCGGCAGAAGGCAGCTCAGCTGAAATGTTTTTTTGGGTCCTGCGAAAGCGGCGGACTTTGGCTTGGCTTGGCATATGCCACCAGACGATGATGCAGGATTCTTGCTTCACGCAAGCACTGTGAGCACATGGTTAGACAAGGCCTCTCCCGTCCGCATATTGCCCTCCGGCCCCCTCCCCCCCCTGCACTTTTAGCCCCAAGTCAAATACACACACTAAATCAACCCTTTTCACACCTCCATATCATCACACGCACCAACTTCAACACCAAAAATTACACCTTCATACACCCATCTTCATTTCTCACTCATCTTCTCACTCACAACACCACCACACAAGCTCATTCAAAACAACAATCAGAACCGCATACCATCTTCACACCACACAACACGCAATTTTCAACAAGCATACCAACATCTCACCTCAAGATCCTAAGATCATCATTTTTCTCCCTCCTTCCTCCCACCAACGCACTAACAAGCCCCCTAATCCGTTTCTTCACAAACTCAAGCAGTCTAAAATGAAACCCCAAAATCACTGTTACTACACACCCCCATTACCCTGGATGGAAAAAAGGCGGGCTGAAGACACATGCGCCAATCCATTGGAGCTGTTGAAAGCAACTTTGGGGAACAATTCCAGCATTTTGACAAAGAAGTGGTCGGAGATAGAGAATGAAGAGGTCGAGGATTGGATGCAAGAGCAACTTCGTGATTTGGAATATGATGACCCCGACGTCATGGAAGCTGTGCGAAAGGTATTTGGCTGGCGGAAGAGGAAAATACTCATGGAAATGTCATATGGGCAATTTTTGTCTGCGCTGGAGCAGACAGCACTTTCAGAAGAAGTTCGACAAGACGTAGCACAGGGTCTTTACAACCGCATCCAGAGAGGTGTTCCACGAACCGCACCCGCTGCTTGGAGCAACCCTCGCACAGACTGTGATCCTATTTTGCAATGTTATCACACCTCGCTTCTGTTTTGTGGTTGACGTCTAGGTGTGGGGGCTAATGCTGTGGGTTCGCCCTTTCCCCCTGCAGGTTCTGGCTGATGCGTCTGACATAGACATAGATTTTGCCCGTGCGTTGGAGAAGGCGGAGTTGGATGCAACTGGTCAATTTTTGGAGACAGACGAGGGCAGTTTCAAGCAACACCGAGAGGCAGAAGTGTGGAATGATAGGACATTCTACGTCAGGGACTGCTACAAGGATATTGCAGACATCATGAATGCCACGCAACCCGGCACTATGTCGCTTTTGGGCTCTTCGGGCATCGGCGAGTCCAATTTCATTGTCTACCTCATGTGGCGCCGCTTCCAAGACCCCGAGTTAAGCAAATTTCCTATTTTTGTGCATAGGAGCAACGTGCAGAGCGCTATGCCACGAGCCCTATACATCATGGATGCCAGCATTGATATGAAGAACGAAGTTGTGTGCCAGAGTCTTTGGATTACCTCTGCGAGGAAGCCAGAATCTCCGGCCTTCAACACAGAGCATTTCAAATATGCCGACAACTGCGGCGGGCGTTTTTTCTACCACCATGGACTTTGGAGGAGATGCTGGATGACGAGATGGCGAGCGAGGCTCCACGGATTGTCAAAGAAGGTTGTTGAAGAGCGCTTTACTATTTTTGGAGGCACTGCAAGGCTAGTGTTGCGAACGGACAAGGCGGAGGCAGTCAATGACAGGGAGAGGCTTGATGAGGCTCTGCAGGACCCTGACTCCGACATGAAATTCATCAGCAAGACCACGCACTTGCTGGTGAAGATGCACCCGACAGAAGGTTTTGGACGGTTTGCTGTAAATATATCTTCAGACCATGTTGCACAAGAGCTCGTAAAGCGAAATAGGGCAGACAACGCTAGAGAGCTTTGGAAGGCAATGCGGGCAGGAATGCTCACTGGCACAGGAACAGGAGTTTCACAACTCCATGCAGGACAAAGGCATCAAGAAGTTCAAGCTTCGAGCACGATGCCTAAGTGATGGTAGAGAGGAGGACCTTTTATTCAATGGCGCTCTGCACACTGAGCTGGCTTCAGGCAATCCAAAGGCGAACGTTCAACCCGAAAAATACTACCTGCCACAGAAGCGCAACTTTCAAGGGATTGATTCCTGGACCTCAGAAGGAATGTTTCAGTTGTCCATCGCAGGGAGCCATCCTATCAACTTTGGCAATGCCAACTGTCAAGTGTTTAAGGTTCTTCGAAACCTGCATTCAAATTTTGCCAACGGCAAAGTGCGGCTCTATTTTGTTGTCCCGGACTCCCGTTTCGACAAATGGAAGAAAGTGCAGAACATTACTCCGCCAGAGGCGGAAAGCATCATTGAACAGTGGGTAGTGTGTTTCGAGGAGAACCTTCCGGCATGATGCAGAGGAACGCCGACGAAAACTTGCGTGCTGGGAGAGGCAGTTTTGCTGATAACCTTGGGGTTGCTGTTTTTGAAGCATGCAAGGAAGGAGGTTCAGGGTCCACTTGTCAATGTGTGCTATTGACTCAAGCTCTACACCCTGAGCAACTCTGCACGCAAGTAAGGGCGAGCCATCCCTTCAACGGAATAGTATTCTTGTCCCAGTTTCTTTTCAACCCCTGAAACCTTGTATTTGACACTGCTCCAATTGGATGTGCGTTCTTTCTCGGAAATCCCTTTTTGCGGTAGATCTTGACCTCGTCTCCAACCCTAACAGGGGGGTATTTACGGGTTTTCACTCTGTTCATTTCAAGTTTTATTTTGACTTCCATGCTACTATCTTTATGTGCTTCATTTGGGGTCATGCCATGTGCAGAATGGATCATTTTACTGTTATATGTCAGCATGATCTCGGGAATGTAATCAACCCATTGTATATTAGCCTTTCCCTTTTTCTCGTCTGCGTCAACCCTCTTGAAAAGCATATCCTTAAACGTGCGAATGAAACGCTCGGCGAAATGGGGGTGCCCTCGTGTTTTATAGTTTTGGATCCCTTCGTCCTTGAAAAAAATAACAAGATCTTGGGTATTGAGACTCCCCTCATCATCCGAATAAATTAATTTGGGCTTCCCTCCCATTTGGTTTAAACCCTCCATGATCCCAGCCGTGATGTCGGCAGGTTGCTTGGATGCAATAGGCACCACCGCGGCTTTACGAGAGAATACATCAATAAGCAATAAGCCTATCCTATATGTTTGATTATCTAAATCATTTTTGATATAAAAAATAGATCCAGTTGATATTCATAGTTGATATCAGGGGCAATGAATGAATTGTATCCAGACAGTTGTTTTTTCCTTTCCACGTTCTCTTGAAACCACTCCTTGACATCTTGCATTGTTATGGATGCATCTTTCTTTTTTGCATCTTTGTAAGTGGTGGCAATGCTACCAAACCCAGCCTGATCGTAGTAGATCTCACTGATTATCTTGTCTGTACCACTCATATAAATAATACTATAAAATCAAATTCAATATGATATTTTGTCACTGAAACACCGATTGCACGAAGCACAGAAGGCAATGACATTATCCTTTGTATGGGGTAGATCATTGCACAACCTTTGACAAGTCAGATTAGAATTTATATTGCCAGAATTCATGGACAATACAAAACCACAGCCACAATTTGCACACTCTCCACCTTCAATCATTCAGCATCTACATAGTTTTCTGTTGGGATCTCAAATTTGTTTTTACGATCCTGTTCCTTGTGTGCTAACACCTTTCTATCAAATAATTCATAATGCATTTTGCGTTAAACTCTTCATTTAAATCACTACTGTATTTGTAAAATTTTACTCTGTTTAAATCCCTTGCCCGAGTGATTCCCGTCCAAAGCCACTCGCGAGTTATCACATGATGATTCCAATCAAAAATGGTGACATCACCATCTATAGAACAACCTTGAACAGAATGACAAGTATAACAGAATGCAAAGATACAATGACTTCTCAAGATACCAATATGTAGCGTGATCTCTTCACGTGTTTTGATATTAGCAATGGTAACCCAAGAATCGGAAATATTAATGATCTCATACCTGAAATTCGCATTTATTTTATAGGTTTTTGTTTTCCTATACTCTCTGCAGATCATAATCTCGCCAACTTCAAACTCATTTTGTTTACCCTGTCGTTTCCTGGTTTGTGTTGAAACTTCCTTGCACGTCGTGTTATTTAAATATGCGATGTTACTCTCTGTCCCTGTTATGTCACCAGTATATTTAAAATACTTATTGATTAACTCAAGTAGTGGCACTTGATTCTCAAAGATGTCAGCGTATATGTTTTTAAGCTTGTCCTTGTCCTCCTGAGTCTTCAATCGCTTGCACTCTTCCAAAAACAAATGATGGGGAAAAATGCTATCAATACATTCATTCATATAAATCTCGTGTTTCTTAGTGTTAGTAAGTGCTTTTATGGGGCTCAATTGCTTGGCATCACCAGTAGCTAATATGATTTTGTTAGCCCTGTGTTGCTCTACAAAGCCCTTAATTTTTGCCAACACAAAAGTATTATTAAAACAAATCTCACCAAACACAATGACATCAAACATTGAATGATCGTGTTTATCTAGCTTCTCGTCATTGACTGCTATACTGAAGAATTTATTTACAGTGACGCTTTCCACTTCGCACTCCAAACCCAGATTATTCGTAGGAACCACGAACAACACTTTATAACCCTTGAGTCTCTCCATGTTCTTGCAGATGGTGGACTTCCCCGCTCCTGCGAATTTGGCCTTGATCATCAGGCACCCATATTTCTCAACAAGTTCAACCAATTCATTTTCATCATACTCATTAATGATGTTAACTCTCTTACTTTTGACAATCGGGATCTCAACATATTCACACTTCTTCTGTTCATACAACTGCTTTCCTGTATGATGGATCTCATCGTGAGTCTTGGCTAATTGCCACCCACCGATCCCATCGTGAAAAACTAGCAACTGCCGAGTCTTTCTCAAACCAAACTTATTGAAACCCGAACAGTCCACGACAAAGCGTCGCATGTGACACTCAATACCTTAACATTGTTA